GCGACACGTCTCTATCGCGACACGTCTCTATCGCGACAGCTCGTCCCCCGGGGCGTGCCGGCCGCGCTCGCACGTGGTGTTCCTGAAGACGCACAAGACGGGCGGCAGCAGCGTGCTGAACCTGCTGTCGCGATACGCCGACGAGCGACGCCTGCGCTTCGCGCTGCCCCTGCGCTACCAGTTCGGATACCCCGGAATGTTCCGGGCCGAGCTGGTCAGGGGCTTCCGGCCCGGGGACACCTTCGATGTGCTGGGCCACCACATGAGGTTCCACCTCAAGGAGGTATGGAGGGAAATTCCTGGAATTCCGGGGAATTTTCTGGGATTTTCTGGGATTTTTGGGGATTTTGGGGGGATTTTTGTGGATTTTTCTGTGATTTTTTGAGAATTTTTTGAGAATTTTGGGGGGATTTTTTGAGAGTTTTGGGGATTTTTTGGGAATTTTTGGGGGGATTTTTCTGGGATTTTTAAAGAATTTTGGGCGTTTTTTTGGGAATTTTTTTTAATTTTTTCTGGGATTTTTTGGGAATTTTTCTGGGATTTTTTGAGAATTTTTGGGGATTTTTGGGGGGATTTTTTGGGAATTTTGGGGGGGATTTTTCTGTGATTTTTTGAGAATTTTGGGTGGTTTTTTTCAGTGTTTTTTAGGAGATTTTGGGGGTTTTTTTGTGAATTTTGGTGGAGTTTTTTGAGGATTTTTTAGGGATTTTGGGGGGGGAGATTTTTCGATGGGAATTTTTCCATTTTTTGACCGATTTTTCCTATTTTTTTTGGACACTTCTCCACCCCCCCCAAAAAAACAACCCCTTAAACAAAACCCCCTTTTTTCCCCGCAGGTGCAGCGCGTGATGCCCAACGACAGCTTCTACTTCTCCATCGTGCGCGACCCCGGCTCCTTGGGCGCCTCGGCCTTCTCCTATTTCCGCGCGGCCTCCCCGGCCTTCCGCCGCTCCCCTTCCCTCGCCGCCTTCCTCGCCTCCCCCTCCCGCTTCTTCCAGCCCGGAGCCCGCGGCAACCACTACGCCCGGGACCTGCAGTGGTTCGACTTCGGCCTCCCGCGGCCCTCGCAGCCCTCGCAGATCCCGGCCTTGCTGGCGGAGCTGGAGCGCGTTTTCCCCCTGGTTCTCCTGGCCGAGCGCTTTGACGAGTCCCTGGTGCTGCTGAGGGAGCGCCTGTGCTGGCCTCCCAATTCCGTGGATACTTTCCCTCACAATTCCCGCGGTTCCTCCCGGGAGATCCCGGCCTGGCAGGTTCGGCGCTTGCGGGCCTGGAATTCCCTGGATTGGGCGCTTTATTCGCATTTTAACCGCACCTTCTGGCGCCACGCCGAGCGCTTCGGGCTGGCGCGGCTG